GTGTAATGAATGTGACTTGACTTAATGAACATGGAATCGGTAGACCTAATGTTGGTAGCCCTTTCATAAATGACTAATAAAGTATTGTAAGGCTTTGCCTTGAATCGGTAGACCTAATGTTGGTAGCCCTTTCCTAAATGAATGATGAAGTATTTTAGGCTATGACTTGAATCGGTAGACCTAATGATGGTAGCCCTTCATGATGAGTCTAGAAACTAATGTGATGATAAACCTTGATTCGGTAGACCTAATGGTGGTAGCCCTTTCATGTGTGAAATGATGAATCTTGATTCGGTAGACCTAATGGTGGTGGCCCTTCTTGGATTCAATGAGCTATCCTTATAATGTACCTTGACCTTATGGTGGTGGCCCTTTCATGTGTAATGTACTTTGGGTCGGTAGACCTAATGTTGGTGGCCCTCTCAAGTACAATAATGTCAATGAAAATGAACTACTCTATGGGAATGGAGGCTAAGTACCGAGTGGATATGGTAAGATGAAAGTTCTCCCTACGTATTAGCTAACTATGTGCCCATATAGGGTATTAGCTAGTGGATCCACCTAAGCTAAAATGTACCTAGTTCTACCTTAGTCAAGTAGGACACCTTCTTTCAGTGTGGGGTCATCTATGACACCGGATTTCATGGTTTTCTCTCATGGTCTATGTCGGTTAATGCTTATTCCCATCATGTGAGATGTGCACTATGGTTGCTTGAGAGGTTCTATGAAGTGTGGGTAGTAGTATCGGATGTCATCCATGCATTGCACGAATAGGCTTTGAGAGGGCTATAGTGAGTTCTCTAATGTCTTAATGACTAATGAATAAATGTGCTCATAAAGAAGCTAATGAAGAATGTTGACTTATATGCTTAATGTAATGATGCATGCTTTACTTGGATGGTATTATGAGTTACTTTCCTTGTCATGACTTATGAAATATTTATGTTCCTTATGTATGAGTTTTGTCTAAAGGTGAAAAAGACGAATGGTAAGTTCACTTTTGGTGGCCTTAATGTGGTACTTAGTGTGGATTAGTGGTATGGGACGTTATTCATACATTGCACAAAGTATAACTTGGGGTTAATTAAGGTGAAGGCTTTAATGTGATGAAATGTCTTATACGTTGATTATGTTCTAAAGTGATGAAATGCCTTGTATGTTGATTATACTTGTATCTTATGCCTCTTATACTTACGTTCATGAAGTTTTCTCAAAATTGGCATAGAGCATGACTTTCAAATAAAATGTCCGTTTTAAGCATGGTTTTTGCATGATTATCATACTTAGTACATTAAATGTGCTAACCCATATTTCTTCTATTCTTTTACAAAGTGTAGGTTCCGGCAAATGAGTTGAGTTCTTCTAGTTGAAGCTTGGATTGAGCTCTTCCAAGACTTGTGGTATGCCCTCATGGATTCGAGGACAAGTAATTTTGATGTTTCATGTCTTTCATTGTAATAGACTCTTTTTAGACTTTCTATTGTAAAGGGCCATGACCCTACTTTTGATTCGAAGATTGTTTTTAGATGGCCATGTGAGACTAGTAGACTTCCGTTGTTTTAAATGATGTTTTCGGTTGTATGGATTAAAAGAGTTTTAAATTTCATACTATTTCTATTATCTTATGTGATGACATGTTATGAGGCTTGTATGAGACTTTTCGGAGTCTTGTACGCCGTGTCACTTCCGGGGTGTAGGCTCGGGTTGTGACAAGTTACGTCAAGAAGGTTTTTTCAAACCCATTATTTATGTTTGTTCTTACTTAATTGAATCAAATTGTTTGTGACATGACCCAAACCGTCGTGATTGGCACCCGCACTAACCATCCGGTGGGAGAATCACTACTACACCTAAACTAAGCAACTAAAACAATACTAAGGCAATTAAGTTACGGAAGCAAGTTAATTAACTAACAAATGCGGAAATTTAATACCTAGAACCTGAAAGTCAATGTACCAAACATCTAAACAAATTATCCAAGTCTAAACAAAAAGGGATATCTACCAACTAATGAACTAATCAACTAACTAGAACAAATATTTATGTCCGGAAATGATGGACATAGACGAAAGAGAATCCCATGGCAGCCCGGAAGAATTGGCTCACCCTTGAATTCAAAGCGATGATCATTGATCATCTAAGCGAGGTCTGTCAATAGTCGCGTGAAGATGCCTTGTACTTAACAAAAACAAGAGCAAGTGCAGAATCAGTACACAACCACAGTGTACTGGTAGGATCACACTGCTATCCCACTAGTGATAAACAATTCAAACAACATTATAATCACATACATATATATCAACATCTATAATATTATCAACAGGATCATCAATAAACATTTATCACAAATCATTGGTCCTTTCACGGAACCCAAACCCAAACCCAAACAGTTAGCATGCCGGAACATGGCAATCGATCCCATATTTATGTCGAAACGTGGCAACAAATCCTATTTTTATGCCAAAACGTGGCAATCCGATCCAAGTTAGTTATGTTGGAACGTGGCAATCCGATCCCATTCACATACCATAATCACAAACACAAGTACATCATCAAGATCATACATTTAAGTCATGATTTCATGACAATGATATTTCATCTATCTCATTTATAACAAGTGTGATCAACATTGCAACATTCATACATATACAAGTATCATAATGAAGCAAGAACAAGCATACATCACACAATCATAGAATCACAACCATCACTTACCTCGAAACAAGCTTGAAACCCTAAGAAACTTGATCCTTTCCTTTTCAGATTCGTTCCGATTGTTCTTGGTCTACAAACAATCAAATTAACAAGGGAATCAACAAACAATCGCTAATTACTCGAATTACTAACAATTCTATGAACCCTAGATCAAATCCATGATCCCAATTGCCCAAATTACGGTTGTTTCCACCATAAAATCTATAACAAAACCCTCCCCAATCAATATTCACCCATTTTATTACGTTCTACGGATCGAAAATGGATTCGGGGAGTTAGAAGCTTATATTTATCTTCAAGAATGGTGAAAAATGACTAGAAATCGCATGAGGTTCGTTCCTTAGCTCTAAAAGTCAAAAAGTACCAAATAAGGTCTTTAAGGGTTTGTTCACGACATTAAGTCGCGTCTGGCCCGTCATAGCGGCCCTCATCCCGCTATAGTGGCGGCGCCAGAGCGATATCAAGTCCCGCCAAAGCGGCATTTTTGAACTAGTGAGCTATTCATCCTTTTCTACGATTCTAAGTCCCATCGTACCGGCCACAGCGCCCCATATCCCGTTGTAGCGGCCCCGCCAGAGCGGCCAGACTCCCGCCAAAATGACACAAACGGAACCAGAGAGTCAACTGAAGAAATTCCAAAATCCCATTTCACTTTACACCTCTAACCCACGACGATCAGAAAATACCTATCACGCTAAGATCGATTCCGGGAGATCTACTCGCCTGAATTCAATTCCGTAAAGTCGTACGGATTCCTTAACAAGTTATCTAACCACACATGCAATCAAAACTATAATTACTCCACCCGATTGTTACCAGATTTCCCAACACCTCAGGGACTCCGATTTCGTTCAAATCTGGACAAGGTTGGAAAAATTCAAATACTACAAAAAAGTTTTTCCGGCCCCAATTTTTCCGCCGTTGGCATTTCTATAACAACGAAACCCGGTCGTTACAATAGATACCAATTTACCCATCACCCATCCTTGAGTGACAAAACTTAGGGAAAGTAGTCTAAGGAAAGAATGAAGCAGTACATGATTCAACGAACAATTGGGGATACTTGTCTCGCATGTCCCTCTCGATTTCCCAAGTAGCTTCCTCAACTGGACGATGCTTCCATTGAACTTTCACGAACTTAATCTCATTGGTCCTCAACTTACGCACATCACGATCAAGAATAGCAATCAGTTCCTCCTCATATTGGAGGTCTTTGTCTAGCACAATTGAGTCCCACTTAATGATATAATCTCTGTCACCTTGATATCTCTTCAACATAAACAAATGAAATACCGGATGAACATGAGATAAATTAGGGGGTAGAGCCAATCTATACGCCATGGGCCCTACACATTCAAGAACCTCAAATGGACCAATGTATTTAGGACTTAGCTTACCCTTCTTGCCAAATCTCATCACTCCTTTCATGGGTGATACCTTAAGAAGAACGCTCTCACCAGTCTGAAATTCCATGTCTCTTACTTTATGATCCGCATACTTCTTCTGTCTACTCTGGGCTGCTAGAAGTTTAGCTTGAATACTCCTCACCTTATCTTGAGCATCCTTTACTAAATCAACCCCCAAAGGTTTCACATATCCAACCTCAAACCAACCTATGGGTGATCTACAATCTCTCTCATTTAATGCCTCAAATGGTGCCATATCAATGTTGGAGAGATAACTATTGTTATAAGAGAACTCACACAAAGGTATGAATTTATCCCAATGCCCTCTAAAATTAATCACACATGCTCTCAACATGTCTTCCAATACTTGAATAGTCCTCTCAGATTGTCCATCCGTCTGTGGATCAAAGCCTGTACTAAAAGTGAGTTGTGTGCCCAATTCATCATGCACTTTCCTCCAAAACTTGGAAGTGAATTGGGTACCACGATCTGAGATGATAGAAAGGGGCACCCCGTGCAACTTCACTATCTCTTTCACGTACACCTTAGCCAATTGTTCAGCGTTATAATCTGTTCTTACAGGAATAAAATGGGCTGACTTGGTCAATCGATCAACCACTACCCAAATAGAATCAAACTTCCCCAAAGTCTTGGGAAGACCAACCACAAAATCCATAGCTATTCTTTCCTACTTCCACTCCGAAATTGGCATTCTTTGAAGTAAACATGTAGGCCTTTGATGTTCATAATTCACTTGTTGACAATTTTGACACTTAGCCACAAACTCCGCTATATCTTTCTTCATGACCGACCACCAATAAATTAGTTTCAGACCTCTATACATCTTGGTCACACCCAGATGAATAGAATATCGCAAACCATGAGATTTTGGTAATAATTTTTTAATCAAGTCATCAACTCGAGGAGCACAAATTCTCCCCTTAACACTGAGTTCACCATCCACATCAAGAGTAGTCTCTTGTGCCTTACCATTCGCCATCTTCTCCTTGAGTTCGTTCAAATTTTCATCCTCAAATTGTTTGGCCTTGATCTCTTCAATGAATGTGGCCTTAACTTCAATGCTAGCTAACACCCCGCCTCTTTCAGAGATGCCTAACTGCATGAACATAGACTCTAAAGTCTGAATTTTTTTAGCCAAGGGTCGCTTGGTTACACTCAAGTAAGCTAAGCTACCTATACTTACCACCTTTCGACTCAAAGTGTCTACTACAACATTTGCCTTACCCGGATGATATTGAATTGTCACATCATAACCCTTGAGTAACTTTATCCATCTTCACTGTCTCAAAATCAGATCCTTTTGAGTGAACACATGTTGCAAACTACGATGATCAGTAAACACTTCACACTTAACACCATAAAGATAATGCCGCCAGATCTTAAGAGCAAATACTGCCGCCGCCAACTCCAAATCATGGGTTGGATAATTTCTCTCATGCACATTCAATTGGCGCGACGCATAGGCTATAACATTCTTATCCTACATTAACACAACGCCCAATCCAGAATGAGAAGCATCACAATAAACTATAAAATCCTTACCTTCTACCGGTAATGCTAGAATGGGCGCAGTGGTCAAGAGAGTCTTGAGCTTTTGAAAGCTCTCCTCACATTTTTCAGTCCATTCAAATGGTATCTCCTTTTTGGTAAAATTGGTCAAGTGCGTAGCAATTGAAGAAAAATTCTTAACAAATCAATGATAATAGCTAGCGAGTCCCACAAAACTCCTAACTTCCGTCACAGAGCTAGACCTAACCCAATTCCTAACCACTTCAATCTTTTGAGGATCTACTATTACACCTTCTTTTTGACACTACATGCCCCAAAAATACAACCGATTTCAACCAAAATTCACACTTTGAAAATTTAGCATATAACTTTTGTTCCCCAAGAACACCTAAAACAGTACGAAGATGGTTGACATGTTCTTCTTCACTTTTTGAATAAACCAAAATATCATCAATAAAGACTATCACAAAGGAATCAAAAAATGGCTTGAACACCCCATTCATCAAAATCATGAAAGCTGCAGGCACAGTGGTCAAACCAAAAGACATAACCAAAAACTCATAGTTCTCATAACGAGTTCTAAACGCCGTTTTGGGCACATCCGGGCCTAATTTTCAATTGATGGTAACTGGATCTTAGATCAATCTTTGAGAAAACTGTTGCACCTTGCAATTGGTCAAAGAGATTATCTATTCTAGGCAAGGGGTACCTATTCTGAATAGTGACCCTATTTAATTGCCGATAATCTATACACATTCTCATACTATCATCATTCTTCTTAACAAACAAAATTGGAGCACTCCATGGGGAAGCACTAGGGGGAATAAATCCATTATCAAGGAGCTCTTGGATTTTAGCCTTAGCTCTCTTAATTCTACCGGAGCCATGCGATATGAAGGGATAGAAATGGGACGAGTATCAGGCTCCAAATCAATGCAAAAATTTATATCTCTATCCAGAGGCACCAGATAAGTCATTAGGAAACACTTCACTAAATTCAGATACCACAGGAATATACCCAATGGATGGAACCTCAATCTCAACATCCCTAACATGAGCCAAATAAGCCAAACAACCCTATTCTACTAATTTACTAGCCCGAATGAAGGATATAATCTTAGCTTGTTAGGCTTGTTCACCCCTTCCAACTCTAATATTTCCCTTCCCAGAATATCTAGAGTAACAGACTTAGAATTACAATTAAGCAGAACATAATAGGGAGACAACCACGTCATGCCTAAGATTATGTCAAAGTCAATCATATCCAAAATCATCAAATCAACCCAAGTCTGAAAACCCATAAACAATAGGACAAGCACGCGCGATAGACATGGGTGACTATGACTGACTCTCCAACAGGGGTAGAAACACGAATGAGGGCATCAAGTATATTACAAATCATCTCAAATCAGAGACAAATATCACAGATACATACAAATAAGTAGAACCCAGATCGACTAACACATTAGCCATTCGGTCACAGACAAGAATAGTACATGTGATCACCGTGTCGGATGCCTCCGCCTCTTTTTTCCTCGAGAAAGCATAACATTGAGCTCTATCATCTTGACGAACCACTTCCCTACCTGGTTGCGCGTTACCCCTACCTCCATTACCATTGCCATTTCCTCTACCTTCACGGCCTCGCTGATTACCTCTTCGCCCACCTTGTGGACGTCCTCTACCATTATTACCAATTTTCGCGGGTACCACTGCTCTAGACTGCTGCTGCTGCACGGAATCTAACACAAGCGGGTAGGGACAATCTCTCCTCATATGCCCAGGTTCACCACAGTTGTAGCAAGTACGATCAAAAGATAGTCTACTGCCCGTCGAAGGCACGACCCTCTGACTATCCTGAAAATTATGAGATGGGGCTTCCGAATAGTTACCTGTAGAGGCGGGCATAGTAGACTGAATTGGCTTGGCTGCAAGTGTTGGCCTTCCAGACCCCTTAGAGTAAGAGCCTTGAAAGTTACTAGAATTCTTTGCCCTTTTTGCCCAAGCCTTAGTTTGACCGTCTCGCCTCACCCGTTCCACTCTCTTAACATAGTCTGTCACCTCATTAAAACTCCTTCATGCAGAAGTCATATGAATAGATAATACTTGCAACTCAAAATTCAAACCTCTAATAAACAATCGGATCCTCTCCTCCTCAGTAGTAACCAACTGCGTAGCATATCTGGATAAGGCATGGAACTTGGCCTCATAAGCAGCCACAGACATACCACCTTGCTCTAAAGCCATAAATTCATCCTTTTTGCGTCCCTCAAAGTTCTGGGCACATACTTTTCTAGAAATAGAGCATGAAATTGGGTCCAAGTAAGTGGAGGTAAAGTAGAGGATCTGCACTCCATATAAGCTCTCCCCCACTGCTTGGCCTCACCTTGAAGTTGGAAAGATACGAACTCAGCCCCATGTTGGTGAACAATGCCCAATTTATACAGCATCTCATAACAGTCTAAGATAAACTCATAAACATATTCAGTTTCAGAACAAAGAAATACCGGAGGCTTAAGCTTCAGAAACATATCATGCTCGTTCCGAGTCATAACAGAACCCAACAGAGGACGGAAGAAAGCATCACTACCTGCCATTCCACCTGTCTTAGGCACAGTGCCAGCAACAAGGGGATTAGTGGAAGCCTGAGTTGCTTGGGCAAATGGAAGCACTCCAGGACCAGCCAACCTCTTCAAAAAGGACATGATTTGTTGAGCTAACACCGGATCTAAATGAGGAATGCCTGCATTTCCAACCTACACCTCTTCCTCTTGTCCAATCTCTTCAACATCTTCGACATCCATATTCTCATCTATCTCCCCATTATGCGTAGGAAGGTTCTCATTCACATGCACATTCTCAATATGTACCTCATTTTCAGCATGCGCTACTCTTCCACGGCCTCTACCTTTAACTCTTCCTCTACCTTTGCCTCGACCGCAACCTCTTGCTGCAGAATCATCAGCTAGAGCATTGACAGAAGCTACGGGCCTAACAGCATTATACCTAGTATTAACCATCTGCGAACAGAAAAACGAAGGAGGTTAGATACCAATTTGAATCGCCAGATACCAATTTGAATCGCCAGATACCAATTGGAATCAAGTCATAGCACGAAAGGAGACAAGAGAAAAATAGAGATTTCTGAAAGTCCTATAGCCTCTCGAAGAAAAGTAAAGGCGTCCCCATACTGTTTCGCGAGACTCTATTAGACTAATTTCGGTACATCGAGATCAACGAACTTAGGCTCTGATACCAACTTTGTCATGACCCAGACCGTCGTGATTGACACCAACACTAACCATACGGTGGGAGAACCACTACTACACCCAAACTAAGCAACTAAAACAATACTAAGGCAATTAAGTACGAAAGCAAGTTAATTAACTAACAAATGCGGAAATTTAATACCTAGAACCTGAAAGTCAATGTACCAAAACATCTAAACAAATGATCCAAGTCTAAACAAGATGGGATAAATCCCCAACTAATGAACTAATCAACTAACTAGAACAAATATCTAAGTCCGAAATGATGGACATAGACGAAAAAGAATCCCATGGCAGCCCGAAAGAATTGGCTCACCCTTGAATTCGGAGCGACGATCAATGATCTTCTAAGCGAGGTATGTCAATAGTCGCGTGAAGATGCCCTGTACTCAACAAAAATAAGAGCAAGTGCATAATCAGTACACAACCACAGTGTACTGGTAGGACCACACGGTTATCCCACTAGTGCAACATAAACAAGTCAAACAACATTATAATCACATGCATATATCAATATCTACAATATTATCAACATGCTCATCAATATACATTTATCACAAATCATTGGTCCTCTCACGGAACCCAAACCCAAACAGTTAGCATGCCGAAATGTGGCAATTGATCCCATATTTATGCCGAAACATGGCAATCGATCCCATTTTTATACTGGAACGTGGCAATCCGATCCATGTTAGTTATGCCGAAACGTGGCAATCCAAACCCATTCACACAACACAATCACCAACACAAGTATATCATCAAGGTCATACATTTAAGTCATGATTTCATGGCAATGATATTTCATCTATCTCATTTACAATAAGTGTGATCAACATTGCAACATTCATACATATACAAGTATCATAATAATGCAAGAACAAGAATACATCACACAATCATAAAATCACAATCATCTCCTACCTCGAAACAAGCATGAAACCCTAAGAAACTTGATCCTTTCCTTTTCGAATTCGTTCCGCTTGTTCTTGGTCTTAAAACAATGACAATAACACGAGAATAAAAAACAATCATTAATTACCCGAATTACTAATAATTCTATGAACCCTAGATCAAGCTCTTGATCTCAAATGCCTAAATTAGGGTTGTTTCAGCCATAGAATCTATAACAAAACCTTTTCCAATCAATATTCACCCATTCTATTACGTTCTACGGATCGAAAATGGATTCGGGAGTTAGAAG